ATGGTCATAGCGGTCAAAGGTCAAAAGTTTCCAATTTAGCAAGAGGGCGCCATTCATGCCTTATTACAGAATTTGCACGCGTAAATCGCGGAGAACGCTATCTTGTGTTTATAAGATCTTTGATGTAACAAGCTGTAACTGTAGGGGGCGCTGTTAATATATTTAACTTCATCTACAAATGTCATTTTGCATCATTATTAGAAAGTACCGGTAGCTCTAATGGAAAAGTAAACCATACTTCATCAACTGTATTATTTAATGTCCTACAATGCATATTTCTTGAATATTAGAACAATAATCCCATAACAAACATGGCGAACCTACTTACAGGGTTTCAAAAAAAAAAATGTTTTAATTTAATTTTTACTTTTAACTGGCATAGCAGAGACACGTGAAAAGGCGTTCTAACAACTGTCAAGATCTAAATGAATGTTATGCATGGCGTGATCATGGGTAGTCGGGCAAAATATTTTCCAGTATGGGGACGTATACGCATACCGACGGCGAAAGGAGGGTTTATGGCTGTTTTACTCACGCGGGATCATCTTTATAGTTACCAACCGTCTCGCATCGTGCGGGACGGTCCCGCATTTTAAAGTGATTTTGGATGCAACACGCATTTGGCAGGAACACATGCGTGATATTAAATTTGTCACGCATTTAGTGTACGAGTCTATGCGTGATGACGAATAATCACGAATTCAGGGAAAATATATTTAAAATTAGAAGAAATTAGTTTTATTAGATATATAAAACAATCATGTCGTAACTTGAGTCATTAATTTTAAATAATTATTTTAAATACAAAAGAATTTTTAATTGTATTATTTTCAACTTTATTCAAAGAGATGTTTCTGTGCTTTGGGAGAAACTCTCTATTGTCCTTGTTTTCAAATACAGTACAGTAGTTTAAATTTTGATTTTTCATTTTAAGGAAAGATCACGCGTGTTAACATGGCCGTCTCCTATTTTATAGAGATGGAAATGTGCATGTTAGGTTTGTACGCAAGCTTGTCTTTGAGT